TGTTGTTTATATGACAACACTGACTTTCAATTTTTGACTATGCAATGGATGGGAAATGGTATCTGGTTGTTTTTACTTGCATTTACCTATTGTTAGTGAAGTTAGACCTATTTTCATATGTTCATTGGCCATCTGGATTTCCTCTAATGTAAATTTCCCACTTATATTCTGTGCTCATCCAGAATAGGGAAATGAATACAGCATTTCTTTAAGAATTGATTGTGGACATGTTCATGGGTTAGAGAATGAATAACCTTGATAAATATTGGAGTTCTCCCAACATGTAAAAATTTTAATAGCCACAAATTCCTCCCATTCCATTGTGCATGCTCCTTTGCAGTGTGATTTTACCTCTCTTCTCAACCAGAGGTGGTGTCTGTTTCTCCGCTCCCTTGAACCAGAGGTGGCCTTGTGACTTGCTTTGACCCAGGGAACGTGGTGGAAATGATGTTGCACAAGTTCCAGCCCTTAGGCTTCAAGAGGCCATCAAACTTGCATCTTCACCCTCCAAGAACACTGCCCCCAAGATGGCCACGTAAGGAAACCAGACTACCTTACTGGATAACCCAGCTGACAGCCAGTACCAGACATGTGACTGAAGCCATCTTGGACCTTCCAGTCCAGTTGAGCCTCCATGCATGAGTGAGCCCAGGTAAGACCAACCCACAGAATCATGAAAAAGAATATCATCATTATTTTAAACCACTAAAATTTGGGGTGACTTCCTTTGCAGCAATAGTTAACACAGCTATGCTCCAGTGTGGTAATGAAGTGGGTAAATAATTTGGAAGAAAAAAACAGAACTTGAAAGTGCTTGATTTTGAATACACAGGATCCTTTTTTATTTAAAAGAATACTATTAACAGAGTACTATGTGTCAGGCATGGTGCTAAGCACTTTATATATGTTATCTTCAAAACAACCTGATTAAGTAGAAATTATTGTACTTATTTTGCCCAAAGTCACACAAGCATTAACCATTAGAACTCATTTCAAATCCAGACATATCTGACTCAAAAGCCTGTTATAAAATTATCTTGTCTTCCCATAAAAAAAGCATCTCTAAAAATTTACAGACCCAATAAAAGGACAGTTAGTGGCATGCAATTTTATAGATGGAGTGCTTAGCAAAAATAAAAAAGTCACATAAAATGAATAAAAAAAACATGTATTGGGATTTTAATTAGTAAATCTGGCCACAAATAAAGAAAAAAACACAACTTTTGTTATTAATAAGCAAATTAAAGACAAAGATGGCACAGTAGAGTCATGCTTTTACACACCCCCTCTCTTATATACATAATATATAAAATGTGAAATGAAAAAATGAAAAAGACACTCATGGACTTCAGAATACAAACACAAAATATCGACCAGGGCTGAAGCTGGCGTCTCCTGAGCTCTGGGTCCAGAAGGCAGTGGCAGCTCCAGTATTCTGTTCCTGTAGAATAATCGAAACTAAACCTGCTTCCCTAAGAATAATTTAAAATGTAGGCTTTTAACTAAATTGGACAGGACTAGTCTCCCTAATTTTTTTCTAAGGTGAGGATTTGCTAGGTAAGAAAATAACAAGTCAACCTGGTATAGGTCTGCTATGAATATTGGGGTACATGTATCCTTTCGAATTATGGTTTTCTCCAGATATCAATATATGCCCAGGAGTGGGATTGTTGGATCAAATGGTAACTCTATTTTTAGCTTTTTAAGGAAACTCCATACTGTTTTCCATATCTAATTAGATAAATTAGACTTCATAAAAATTTTAAATGTTTGTTGTTTCTAAGGACAAAAGGTGAAAAGACAACCTACAGAATGGAAGAAAATATTTGCAAACCATATATATAAGGGATTTGTATCTAAAATACGTAAGAACTCTTACAACTCAAAAATAAAAAGGAAACCCAGTTAATGGGCAAAGGATCTGAATAGACATTTCTCCAAAGAAGATACACAAATAGCCAATAAGCACATTTAAATATGGTCAACATCATTAGTCATCAGGGAAATAAACATCAAACCCTAATGAGATAACTCTTCACACACACTAAGATGGCTATAATCAAAAAAATAGACAATAGCAAGTATTGGCAAGGATGTAGGAAATTGGAATGCTTGTGCATTGCTAGTAGGAATGTAAAATAGTGCAGCTGCTTTGGAAAACAGGCAGTTCCTCAACAAGCTAAATACAGAGTTACTGTATGACCTAGCAATTCCACTCCTAAGTATATACCCAAGAGAATTTAAAACATGTCTACACAAAAATGTGTACACGGAAGTTCATAGCAGCATTATTTATAGTAGCCAGAAAGTGAAGACAACCCAAATGTCCATCAACTGATTAATAGATAAACGAAATTTATATTCTTTTTTTTTTTTTTCTAAATAGGTTTTTTTTGTTTGTTTTTGGCTGCGTTGGGTCTTCGTTGCTGCGCGTGGGCTTTCTCTAGTGGCAGCTAGCGGAGGCTACTCTTTGTTGCGGTGCGCAGGCTTCTCCTTGCAGTGGCCTCTCTTGTTGCAGAGCACAGGCTCTAGGTGCACGGGCTCTAGAGCGCAGGCTCAGTAGTTGTGGCGCACGGGCTTAGTTTCTCCGCAGCACGTGGGATCTTCCCAGACCAGGGCTTGAACCCGTGTCCCCTGCATTGGCAGGTGGATTCTTAACCACTGTGCTACCAGGGAAGTCCAAAATGTATATTCTTACAACAGAATATTATTCAGTCAAAGAGGGGATGAAGTACTGATACATGCATGAATGGCCATGATATACATTACGCTAGTGAAGGAAGCCAGACACAATAGGCCACATATTGTATGATCCCATTTATATAAAATGTCCAGAGTAGGCAAGTCCAAGGAGATAGAAAGTCTGTTAGTGGTTGCCAGGAACTGGGAGGAGGAAGAAATGGGGAGTGAATGCTAATGAGTATGGAGTTTCTTTTTGGAGAGATGAAAATTGTCTGGGATTAGATAGTGGTAGTGGTTGTACAACATTGTGAATATACTAAAAACCACTGAAATTTACATTGTAAAGTGTTGAATTTTATGGTATCTACATTATATCTCAAACCAAAAAAAACTGACCTTTATCAGGTGACTTACAGGGGCAACCAGATAAGAAACCATTTGTCACCCGACCAGGTCAGAAGCCAAGAATTTCATTTTATTTTTAATTATCTTTATGTAACCTTTTTTTAATTTATGGAAGAGATATAAGGTTTTCTTTAAAAATACATTTACATTAAAAAATGAAGACAGGGCTTCCCTGGTGGCGCAGTGGTTGAGAGTCCGCCTGCCGATGCAGGGGACACGGGTTCGTGCCCCGGTCCGGGAAGATCCCACATGCCACAGAGCGGCTGGGCCTGTGAGCCATGGCTGCTGAGCCTGCTCAATGAAGACAATGTAAATAATAGTATTAAAGAAAAAAATTCAGTAAATAATGTATGTGGCAAACCTTGAAGTTTGGAAAAGTCTGAGTGTTCTCTACTGAGCATTTTTCAAACCCAGTAATATGTTTAGATTAATAATGAAGTAAAACTTAATATACCATTCAGTTCCCAGTGCCAAGTATCTCTTTAAATTAATCCTTAGATAGGTTCTTTAAAGTACAATACTTTCTTCCAATACTATTTCCAAGAAAAATTTCAGGAATTTGCTCCTTATTTACCACAGATTTTTCCAAGGTTCCTAAACTGTGCAAGCTGAGGTGGCTTGGAGCATCATGGGAGAAACATTGGTACTTGACATCTTTTGGATACCATGCAAACTTCTAGTTCCAGGTAATTGTTACATTAGATAGCACCACATTCCCTTTGATGATGTATCTTTGTGAAGCTGGGTTTTGGGCCATTGCTGTGATAAAAAGCTAGTACTATGCAAAAATCAATGTGAAAAAAAATGAGGATGGCAGTGTCCAACATGATCCCAATTTTGAGAAACTGCAGTGCCCAAAAGGCACACTCATTCCATTAGTAGGTAATTTAAGAATGAGGTAAAAATTATCACTTTGCTTTTAATTTATGTGTTCTTTTTTTTCAAATGGCTACTACAATTGCTAGAACCTAACTACTTAATAAATTTAACTGTTAGGTATTTCTTTTGGCCAGGGAACTCCATGAAAAAATTACTGAGACTAAAGATGCCATAAACCAAGAAAGTTTGGGAAGCTCTGAGTTATTTATTTCTCCATATATTAAATACGCTCCAAACTTTCCATAGTTCTTCAGTTCTCATGCAACATTCCTCTGATATACCAATCAGTATGTTAAAGGATCAGTCTCTCGGATTGGGGGTGTATATATGTAGGAACATCTCTTGATGGGAAATGACTGTCTTCAGTGCCTGCCTTAAAGGTAACAGGTAAAAGAGAAGCAGTTATCCTCCCAATCTAACGAGCAGTCATATAGGTGCTAGAGAGGGAAAGATACACTCTACCCCCTAACTCCCGAGGGCCACTTCATAAACCATAAAAGTGAATGAGATAACAGAACCACTCAACACATTTTTCAGTCAGGAGTGCTCACCTGTCTGGACCAGAGAATTCAATACCATCTACTGCCCCCTGCCAGAACATCCCGGGTAAATCATGCTACTCCTGATTCCTCCTCTCAAATTTTCTGCCCCAAAAAGAGCTTTCTATAACTCAGACCCCAGCTGCAGTTACTGTACTAAAGTATACAGTATGTTATGGGCATATAAATCCAAGGCATTACACTGTGATTGTTACTGCATTAAATATGTACTTCCATAAATATGTTTCCATAGTTACAATACCAAAACTATATTTAGAATTAATAAATAATGAACTTCTTTCCATTTGTAATCAGTTAGCCCCCTCACAGAAATTTGGAAAAGGACTGAAAATCAAATATTTAAAGTTTCTACTCCTGAAGTGAGACACAAACTAATCAGAATACCCTTTTAAAAATGTTTAAACCAAATTCATATACACAGATATATAAATGTATAGTACATTAACACATACTTGAAAAAAAGAAAAGTAGTTTGCCCATAATCAAAACTTTATTGAAAAACTGACACCAAAATAGGAGAGCGCTGTTGTATACCTTACAAAATTAAACATAATTACATTATCTTGGTAGATTAACTGGAATTACTGAACTGATAAGGCTTTCTGTGATAGAACAAATTCAGGAAGTTGTGTGGATCATTAGTGTTGCTTTCTTCTAAATGAACACCCTGCAAAGGAATCACAAGAGCATATTAAACACAAGTCTGTTCTATCTTTGGTACAGTTTTAATGACAAAAAATACTTTTTACATAAAAGCTCAAGTTTTAGAAATACTAGAGTAACGTTCATATATAGGTTATTTACTTTTTTATACCATAAATTTGCCAAAAGATATCTTTTATATTTGAATTTACTCTGATGTGACTGTCACTCCCTGTTCTCAAATGTTATAATGGAGTTCAAGAAAATAATTCTGATTAGAGTTCATTTCAGATCTTTTAGGAAAATTCTGGTACAGATGCACCCTTTTAATCATCTGTCAGCACATGGACACAGAGTTCTAAAATCATGGCATGATATAAAGGTTTTGGCAATCTTGCAAGTACATTTTTAAGAGCAATACTGCATTTAAATATTGTGCTAATTTCACTTAGATCTCACAAAGTCACACCAAATAGATCTTGGATTTATTGCCAATCCACTTATAACTCTTCCAATGAGAATAACATGGAATTCACAGCTCCTCAAAATACCACAAGCAAATTTCAAATATCACTACTGAACTGTAAATCTCTAAGTACTACTATGGAAAATTATATACATATGTATTATTTTTTCTTCACAAAAGTGAAAGAATTAAAATTAGACTATATTAATCATAAGTTGCTCAGAGAAATCAAACCTCTGACATTTTCATTATAGTTATCTGTTGCTTAGCTAGCAGTGATTAAAACTATCTTAAATCATATGTACCAAGTACATCTGAAACAAAATATTTACAGGAGAAACTTTTAAATCCTATGTTTTTAGATATCTTATGTATTTATTCTTTTGCTCCATTCTGATTTATGTCTAACATTCCAAGTTAAGCAAACTGACTAAATACAACAGAATCAGGTGCTCTAAACTAAGAAAAATAATAGATAAAGCAGTTCTTTACAAGGTCAAGAGTACAAACTTATCTAATTGAACAGGGCATTCTTTACTAAAAGAGCAATAAAAGATAAAAATTATTTTGGTAATTATGAATTTAAGATTTCTTTCAAACTGATTTTTAGTAAAGAGAGATTTTAAAATCATAAAATCTGATCACTGGCTTAGAAAATGCCAAATGATTTACCTTCTGTGAGTCTGGCCTTTCCTCCTGTCGGCTGGCACAACACTGTTGAACAACCTACACAAAGCACCACTGTCTGAGCATGGCTGAAAACCGTGGTAATCTTGTAGCAGCCTGAAAAAGGGAAGTGTTAAAAGTGAAAAGCAGAAAAAACCACAGTACCTGTTCAACATATTTCTAGTAAAGAGCCTGTAAAAGATTAGGAACTTCAGTGCTGTGCAGTAGCAAGCCACATATGTAACAAACTTTTCTAGTAGCCACATTAAAAACAAGTTTTTTTTAAAGGTGAAATTAATAATATATTCTATTGAACTCAGTATTTCCAAAATATTACCATTTCACCATATAATCAAAGCCTTTTTGTTTTCAATGCTACATCTTCAAAATCTGATGTATATTTCACACTTAAAGATATAGCATAAAAAAAGATACAGCATGGTGACTATAGTTAATAATACCATATTGAATATTTTAAAGTTGCTAAGAGAGTATATCTTAAAAGTTCTTATCACAAGAAGAAAAAATTTATAACTATGTATGGTGACAGATATTAACTAGACTTATTGTGGTGATCATTTCCCAATATATATAAATATGGAATCATGAGGTCACACACCAGAAACTAATATAATGTTTTATGTCAATTATACCTCAAGAAAAAAAGAATGAGAAAGAATTTTTCCATTTTGACTAGCCACATTTCAAGTGCTCAGTAGCCACATATGGCTAATGGCCACCATACCGGACCCCGCAGCTTTACACTGAAGAATCAATATATTTTTCATTGCATCGTGAAAAAGAAAACTTATCATCTGAACAGCTTAAAGACTTAATAAGTCCAATGTCATGTCCCCTGTGGAGTCCCATGTTCACACACTCCCCCCCCCCCCCCAGCCAAATGTTTCTAAAGTGGTTTATTATGGAAATAACCCTTATGACATTCCAATTCTGTAATCCCACTTCAGGTCCTAATATCGAAACATACACAACACACTATGAGCAACCCTTACAGAAATTCTGTAAGTAATCCTTACAGAAATTTTCCTTAGGAAAGGAGTTAAAGTTTGAAATTTTACCTGGACATTTTACATCCATAAAATAAGAATTTGGACTTTGAACAAGCCGTTTCTTTTTATGTTTTTTCTTTTCCTCTTCTAAGGAAGGATGCAGTAAATCTCTAGCCAACTGAATAAAAAAGCATATTATTACTACTAGAATGACACCACAACTCTGGCCGATTTAATCATATGTGAAATATACATGCAAAAATAGGAATAACAGTCATATTCAGCAGAGACAGCACTTTAGATGTTACTTATTTTAAAGCCTGTTAACTTTCATCAACACTTTTTATAATGCTTGTGTTCTCCAAGTTCCGGTTAAGGGGAACGATCAGGAAACATGTGGTAAGGTTAGCTCCGTTCTTCTTAACTAATAACAGTCGCCAGTGAAAATCAAACTGTGGTGCTAAGTAAGAACGTGATCGGACCCTGGACCCGCTGAGAGTAGAAGTCGCTGAGGTAGACCCGGCGAATGCCAACACCGAGGAGATTTCTGCCCCCAGGGTTCAACATCTGATAAGAACTCTTTTAAGTGGCCGACGCGAGACGGTCCTTGATCGTTAATTTGTAAGGCAACTGCGAAGACAGTTTTCAAAAAGGAAACAAGTAGGAAATCGCTTCCGAGAGAAGGCACAGGGGGCAAGACCCACGAAGCAAAAGGTGCGCAAGACGACTTCAACGGTCACAGCCTCGCGGGTTCTCACCGAAACCCAGGAGGGCTGACTAAGGTACCCGGGGAGCTGTCCCCTCCCAGCCGTCGACTCCAGACTGCACCCAGGGCGGCGCCGGGTCCTTCCAGCTCCACGCCCAGGCAGGGCCCGACTTGCCGCGCCGCCGGGCAAGTCCCAACAAGTCCGCCACGCGCGAAAGAGCCGCGGGATCCGAGCCGCCGAGCCGCGTTCGGCAGGGAGCCCCGGGAGCCCGCGGAGCCATCGAGCTAGCCCGCCCCTGGGGCCCCTCGGCCTACAGAGATGGCAGACACAAACGCGAAGCCCGAAAGTAAACAACTCACAGGCATGTTGACCCTTTCGCAAGCCCAGCCCGTGCAGATCTCTAAGGCGACACCGCAAGCAAGCAGCACGCGACCGGGAGCGCGGCGTCAACTTCCGGGATAGAGGAGGCTGGGAGGAGCGGAGCGGCGGGCCCGTTGACTCTAGGCGCTCCTCTCGGTGGTGAGGGCTGGCTCCGGCCGGGAACCGCGGGCGGCGGGCGAGGGGAGGTGCTGAGCCGCTCGCCCGTTCGAGTTCCAAAGCCCGCGAACCTAACGGGCTCCTGGGCTAAGGCCGCCGGCCCCAGGGCTTCGCCCTGGGCAAGTGGTGCCTGGGGCTAGGCTCAGGCGGTGCACGCCCGGATGGGGAGCCCCCTCGGGCTTCGGGATCGCCGGCACCGCTGCAGAGCGGACCCGACTGGGCACGCTGGGTCACTTGTCGTAGGTCCCGCCGCCAAGCCTTGCGCTCTCGGCTGCCCTGCGGGCGGGCACACGGGTGATGCCTCTGTTCTTTTATGTATTAAAAAAATATTATTAACTAAAACCACGAACACGTGCCTGCGAGATTATGAAAGAGGCTCGTTTACTTGCGCATCCTGCTTCCAAGGTACCGGTACCGGTTATTAAGTTCTTTGCGGGATGTAGCTGTGCCTTGGGTTTGCTTGGCCTTGAAAAAAGTTTTTAAGAAGCACCGATTCGCTGCCGTGCTTAGTTCACCGTGTGGCTCCTTCCTGTCCTCCGTGGGTCACACTTTCCAGAGCAGACAGCTGGAGCCTGAAAAATACAGCGAGTGTCGCCGATGGCCAGGCTTGAAATATTTTTGATGAAGAGGACCATCCTGTGAGCGCGTGTGGTCAAAAGCTAAGAAACCAAGGAGACGCTTCATCAGAAAATTGTCTTAGATAGACGTTGTCGATCAACTTTTATTTCTCTTCGAAAAGATAGTAGATGTGTAATGTACATTTTGGAAAATGCAGAAAAACAGAACAAAATTTAAATCACCATCCAGAGATAAGCATTGTTAATATTCTGACCTTTATCATTCCAGACATTTTTTTATTCACTTGCATGTAGGTTTGTTTTGGGTTTTGGTATTACATAATTGGTATCATCTTGTACATATTCTTTTATAGACTTGATCCCCTCCCCCCACAACTTATTGTATAATGAACATCACTCGATGTTACTACATGTTCTCCTACACTATGACTTTTAATGGGCACATAGCATTCATCCTGTGAATATATGTCCTTATTTCATCCATACACTATAATAGACAATAGGGGGACTTGCCTGGTGGTGCAGTGGTTAAGAATCTACCTGCCAATGCAGGGGACAAAGGTTGGAGCACTGGTCCAGGAAGATCCCACCTGCCGTGGAGCAACTAAGCCCATGCGCCACAACTACTGAGCCTGAGCTCTAGAGCCTGCGAGCCACCACTACTGAGCCCGTATGCCACAACTACTGAAGCCCGCGCATCTAGAGCCCATGCTCCACAAGAGAAGCCACCGCAATGAGAAGCCGGCGCACCTTAACGAAGAGTAGCCCCCGCTCTCTGCAACTAGAGACTTTCCAGCTGTTCTACCTGGCCAGGTCTGAGAAGGTGCTG